TTTCAAGAAACATAAGAAGTTTTTTTCAATTCATTACGTTCGTAAAACGAGAAAGGAGGTTAATCAAAAATTTCCTATATTTAATGTAATCGACGGGGCTTATGTGCAGTTTGAGTATGCGATAAAACTGCTGTATTTATAGCTCAACGCAAAAACCCAAATCTTCATCAGTTACCTCAGATAACATTTCGACTTAATATGGACGGGACGCTTATAAGTAACAAGCATATAGTAGCTATTTCAATCGATTGTGTTGAGGGTGATCGCGATTGTCAGTCTCCTAAAATCTGGTACCAGTCGGTTTATTTGAGTTTCCGAAAGAATCATGCGAGTTGTATCGAAAAATTCTCCCTAAACCTTTTCTTGACAGTTTAAGTAGTGTGAAATACGTTCGGTTAAAAAAGAAAGATATTCCTATTAAGTTAAAACTTGGAGGAGATTTCATGAATGCCGTTTATGTGTTCGGGCTTGCGGGTGTTCAATCCAATTTTCCTTGTATATTTTGTACACAACATAAGAGTAAGTTAGAACAAGTAGGTAGCACCTCTTATTTTGACATTCAAAAGCAAGCACGTACGCTAGAAGATCAAAGATTATGTTTAAAAAGAAAAGAAACTAATTGCAAAGGATATAAGTGTGAACCTTTATTTGGTGATTTGTTTGAGTTTAGTGACTATATTATGGACACTTTGCATATGAAATTGAGAGTGTATGATATTTTTATGACTGACATACTGCATAATGCATCGAAACGAGAAAAATATGGAAAAGAGCATGATGCTGAGATGCAGAATAAAGTTGATATTTTAAAGGAAATTCGAGGAAATTAATTGGACAAAGAGTTTTTTTTGCTTACGACACTAAAGAACAGCTAATAAAACTACATGGAAGATTTTCGGGACATTTACAAGATTTGTTTTTTCAAAATTTTCCATACGAAGAACTGTTAGATGGAAATGCTATAGTTCATGTAACTAGGTTGGTAGATAGTTTTCGAGAAATACTTGACTTGCTCAAGATTGATCCTTTAAAACGAAAAAAGAATCTCAAAACAGCGTGTGTCGAATTTCTTCAAACGTTTACTAGTGCTTGCTTGAGAAATAATGTAACACCTTACCTGCACATAATCGGAAATCATTTGTTTGAATTTGATGAGAGAGAAGATTTAGGAGCGTTCAATATGCAAGGAGTGGAGAAAGGGAATGACCTTTTGTCTCGCCTCTATTTTTCTTCGACAAACGCTGCAAAAAAGCCTTTATACACTATGATGCAAAAGTTGTATCGTCTGCTAGAGATGAGATTAACTCCTGATGACCGTGAGGAAATGTTTAAATTTATGACACACAAGTGTACGATTATGAAGATGATGATTTTGTTGTAGTAGCAGATGCGAATGGACAAGCTAGTGTCAATTTGCTGCATGTAGAAAATGATTATGAAGTGATAACTTCCGGGAGTAATGATTCAAGCTCGGATACTGACGATGAAAATCACAGTGATGATGGCACAGAATCTGCGTGGTTTCATTTGGGCAATAGGAAAATCTTGACTGCAAACCGCTTTGGGTCGTTTAAGAGAAGCAAAAAGTCATAGTGTACAAGCGTGTAAGATGTGTTACTTGAGCACTGAACGTACCAGCGACTTGGAGATGGATCCGCCTTAGGTCGATTCATCACTGGTATGTTTTATGCTTTGACGTAACTCAAGTATTTTCTACGCTTCTACATTAGCCAAGGTTACTTTTTTAAAACTCATATCATGTCACTACATTCTTTCTAAGATACTGCTTTTTTTTTATTTAGAAGAAATGCAATTACGTCGTCATCAACACAATTCTGGATTTTATCGTCAACTCAGTAATTCTTCTCTGTTAAATCGTCAACTCGTCCACCCGCACAATCTTGCTCGTCCACCTGTACAATTTGCTTTACCACACGCACCACGCTTACTATCCATACGTCCATTAATTCAACGATTTGTTTTTTGCGGCGCAATCGCAAATCGAGGCTGATTAAATAAAAAACCCTTCAACATCAGTAAAAATCAATTCAATTCGTTAAAATTGTCTGGTACTTCTGGTATTTACGGTACTTGTCGGGCGTTACTCAATGCTTTAAATCTGGACATTCAATTTGTGCATGAAGGCAGATTACATTCAGCAGAACAATTTCAATTTAAAGTTGTTAGAAAGAAGGGGGATACATATGTTACTTCGACTAGAAGAGAAACCATTAAGAAAATTTATGTCTTGTATATTCGTTTTATTCGTTCGCAACCTGTAAAATTAAATTAAGTTTTTTGTTTCACTACTCTCGTTCTTCCTTTTTGGGAATTAATAATTTGTATTCTTTTGGTCGCTCTGACCTCTAGATTCATTTGCTTCTCTCATTTACTTTCAAATTCATTTTCTTACATTAAATTTAATTAATATTCACATTTCTATACCTTGCACGTATATACAAATAACAATTTGGGCATATGAACCTAATATTCTATGAAACTACCATGGCCCGAAGAGAAAGCCGGAAAGTCATGGTAGTTCAGAAAATTCTCTGAAAACTCATTTGGCTTTTAATTGACACAGTTACCTACTTTTTCATACGTTCAGCTGTGATATTGGCAGCCTTATAACTCAAAAACTAAACGGTACCTTTTTCTAAAAAATAGCTTGGCGTAAAGTACAAGCTATGTACTTCAAACTGCTAGGAAAATTGGAGAGGGGTACTTCCAAATTTGTTAACTTTTTAATCTTGGAAGTTGCGAGAATATGCACTAATTTCACAGTGAGTGCAACCTTTCTTTTGGATAAAACGATAAAATTTGTTCTTTTCTCTATTTCTTCCTTTATATCTCTCTCTATAGTGTACACAGAAAGAAAAAAACATCAAAGCAAAGAAAAATGACATAAAACGAACGATAAAAAAGTCTACTGTTGAATATAGTGTAATATATCGTGAAAACCCACAGTGGAGAAACCGGGTTCAAAAAACGCGGGCACCCCGACGAGATCTTTGCGCCGTACAACGTAACTCATTGCGCTGATTCCGAATATCTAAGTTTCAAAAATTCCGTTTCTCTAGAAAAAAACCATCGAATTTTGATATGCCTGGCTTGAACTCTGTACAGGTTTGATTGATCGACAATGTAAGCAATCAATTACGGTGTAAAATACAGTTGAAAAAAATCCATCGGTGATAGATTCGCTGGCATTTTCGATTCAAAATCATTAGATAACTTTAATTCTCCATCATAGTAAGGTAGATTAGGTTTCAGCACTTTTCCTGACCACGATTCTAATTGTGCTGCAATCATTGTAACTCCTTCATCATCTGATGATTCCCGTGATCGCTCAGATTCGCCACTGACACTTTCTTCTTCGACATCGTTGCTATCAGCATCACTTGTATCAGAGTTCATTGAATAAAGAACATCTTCATCTGAACTATCGCTTTCTACCAGGTGAGACATATCCACAGTATGTTTCAAATGTGATCTAGAGCAAGACAAATTTGCAATACTATTTGTGTAAGCCTTGTTTTCTTGTCCGTTGGTCAGTGAACCAATGTTATATTGTTATTTCTTCTGAATTACCTTTTAATATCCAAAGATGAATATAACCGATACACTCACACTTTATTATAAAAAATCAGTAACTATATATAGGTTTATGAACAATGCGTTAGATATAGTACTGCCCGAGTTAAAAGAACTTCCCCAGACAAAATAGGGAGAAAACCCATCATTCAACAGAAAGGAAAGAAAGTGAATAGAGAAAGTTACATATGGGGAAAATCCCAGAACATAGCGAATAACGCGCAAAAGTATATATATGCATGTTTAAGAAGAATAGCAGAAGTAATGATATGATCTAACCGAAGGTGAAGATCATAACAATTTGTACGTAGAAATCAACAGAACGAAACATGTGGAAGAGCCAACAGGATAGTCGAAAAGCTTGGATATGCAATATTACGAATAGTTCTCTCGTGGTTATCCGATTTTAGAATATTTCGGACCGCTAAGACCGAATGTCCCTTCCAAGGGACATTTTCTGTATGATGCCATAGTGGACCAATTTATAGGTTTGAAGATCGATGAATGACTTCGCCCAATAACCCTCTGACAAATCTCACGTAATCCAACAAAAAAACAAGATTTCACCCTTTATTGACAAACCTGAAGAGAAAAAAAGCCATCTAAAGCGTGACACACTGTTACATCTATCATTGCTCCATCCCTCAGCTACCCAAGAGTAATCTTTTTATCTTTTCCTGATCTTTCAGATCTTCTTACTCCAGAAAACGTTCAGCGGCCTATACAAACCTCTGTTAAGTGTTTTGTTGAGCTAATCGCAATGTCCCTTGGAAGGGACATTCGGCTCTTAAGGGTTAAGCTTTAGTCTTTGGTATGATAACTATCATAAAAGTGACGAATTTTCTATTTACTCCCACACTGACACCCAGCTTTTTTAAAATTTGTTTTAACCAAGTCGTTGAATGATAACTGAGAGTACACAGCAGTTTAACCCGTGTACTCCAAAGCTTATTTTAGACACAACAAATAGAATGCATTCATACAATGTATTTCATATTTCGATCCATGCAAAAAAAAAAAAATTCCATCTCTTATTCTTGTTTTTTGAGAACAGGGTCTAAATAGACCCTGGATGGTAGTACAAGGGTTAAAGAGAGTTGAGAAATATGAATAAAATTGCTGTGTGGTTACTTTGAGGTCAACTCTGGTGAAATGAATTGCATCATGTTCCCGAAGAGACAGCCGGGTAAAACATGATGGAGTTAGTGTCCCACTGCCTCGAGAGAAGCTCTTTCGGAAAGAGAGCTTTCTCATCCTGAGATTTTTACTTTTTCCTGTTTTTTGGCTCAAACTGAAATTTTGCACAAGAAGTAAGATTCTGAACAGAAAATAAAATTTCGACTTTCTTCACGTCAAGATCGCGATAAGAATGTGACAGAAAACTTCCCCTACTGTAGAAATTGTGACGATTTCATAGAAATCTCATTAGCGCGCGCGACTTAACACATATAAAATCCTGAACTATTAGGATATCAACTCTTTCAAAGTCAAAAATGAGAATTAATTTATAAACTTATCAAAATCATTTTTTATTTTCTCGTTGTTTATTTTGAATCCACGTCCCTTTTCTTGTATTTTATCGTCTTTCGCAGAAATATTCCACTCAAAGGTTAGTTCGACTTTCCCCACAAAGGTCTAACGTTAGTGAGGCTGAAAAAGATCGTAGCGCAGCGGAGAAGAAAATGGGAATCTACTCGATTGAGCAAATAAGCAAAAGTCCTGCTTTATTTTAAAAGATTTTCCATAGAAGTTAAAGATTAATAACAAAAAGTAAAAAGCATTTTTGCAGAAGTCTAGAAAAGTTCTCAAACTTTCGAAGACACTGAGTGAATATTTATCGTTTACTCTACATTTTTGGAAGCACTTGTTTATAGTTCTTCCTTTCTGAACTTTATACTTTTGAAAAACTGCAGTAAACAAATTATTGGCTTTATTGCAGGATGTTTTACCCAGTTTTTTCTTCGGGAACATGATGCAGAAAGGCGATGAAATTGGTGTTTATTCGTGTTAAATTTGATGCTCATTTATTATTTGGCGAGTAGAATGGCAGATAAAATTTTTCATTTTTTAGCAATAACATGCATTAAAATATCTTTTTATTGTACATAGAGATTTATGGTGATGGTTGATTACAAGGAATTACAAGTTTTATTTGTAATCCAGTAGAGAACCAAAATATTTCAGGCTTTTGAACGCTAAAATAGTCGGCGCTAAAATACAAGGCAAGTTGCCATTTTTTGAATATCTCCAAAAGGATAGAAGACAGACTTGAGGTTTTCAACAATCAACACAAGACAGTTTTGCGGATGTTTTTATAGGCAAAACCCTTTTCCGAAACCATCGGAGAGAATACTTTTGATGAGTCTGAAAGTGAATGAAAATATTGGGAAACGACCACATGACAACATTTGTCCTTCAAATAAGTTCCAAAAACCTAGTGAAACCCTATATTAGGTGAATTACCTTATTTTCTGCCTAAAGTTAAAAAACTCATAACCCAGTCAACACCCATGCAGGCATTTTTTTGACCTAACGCACTGGGAAACGCGTTTTTTTGCACCAAAAATGCGTTTGAACGCGTTCCACTACACTTGAAAGGCGTCTGGGTGCGTTAGACAGAAGTAAATGCTGTTAAACGCGCCATATATCAACGCGTTTAGATGCGTTAATCAACTCTGAACGCGTTTAAATGTGTTAGAACTAAACGCGTTTGACTGGGTCAAAAATTAACTCGTTAGAAACCTGCGAAAACAGACTCGTCTTGATGCATCCAAAAGACTAACGACGCGTTGAAATTTAGCGCGTTTCGATGCGTTAATGTACTTCAACTGCTGCTAAATGCGTCAGATTCTAACGCATTTGTACATGATAAGCAGGGAATGCATTCATTCATGTAAGAAAACTTAGTCTT